TAAGTCTTCAAAGCTCAATTACCTTGGGGCAGGTCCACCATATGTGAAAATAAATACCTATGTCCCCACATTTCCAACAGTTTGGGGAGAGTCCTGGGAACATTTTGGATAGTCGGGCAGGAGGGAGATGCCATCTATACACCATCTTATACAAGTTTTCTTTGTAAGTGGTTGCCATCAGGAGTTTCAGTTGTTTCGTCCATATTTCTTCCCATTTTACCAACTCAATTGAATAACCAATATTTCTCCCCCAGGCAATCATTGAATCTTTAACAATCTCATCCCCTATCCAGTAATTTATTAAGAGTTTATAAATCTTGGATAACATTCTTTCCTCCTTTCCTAATATAATATTATCTATTTCTTGCTGGGTCATATCTATGCCACCTTTTTCCTTGTCTTTCTTATGTTTAGAGCTGATCTGGGCATAAGACCACCAATCCAACTCTATTCCCTGAAAATCCAACTCAGTTGTTTTTAAACGGCCTTGAGCATCCAATAGCTCCCGGTAAGATAGGTGTTTTTCTTTATTGTAAAGTGAGCTATATGTTATAGCTTCTAGTGGGACCAACCAAGACGGGGTCAAGACGTAGAATTTACCCTTGATTTTTCTCCATGTTTCAATTAAGATGTTCCTTACATAATGACCTGCAAAGCTCATATATTTTTTAACCTTATCTTGCCAAAGAAAATAGTGCCAACACTGTTGTAATCCCGAACCTTCCAGAATCAACAATCGTCTTCTTCTCAGCAGGATCCATTCTCTTATCCAAACTAAGTTTGCAGCCTGATAATAATATTCTCATTTTGGTAAGCCGAATCCCCCTCTTTCTTTCACCTCTTGAAGCATTTTAAGTTTAATTCTGGGCTTTTTATTTTGCCAGATAAATTTAAGGACACATTGATTTCGCTTTTTAAAGAAATTGTTGTCTAATCTAGCTTGTGCTGTATAAAATATATATGTCCATTTTGGGAGGATATAGGATTTTATAATCACGATCCTACGTAATAGTGATGTCTGAAGGTTCTTCCATTTCTCTAAGTCCTGTTCTACTTCTAATTCCTTCCCCTGCATGATAACCTTAGTTTTTTCCTTATTTATTTTTAAGCCCGCTACATTTCCGTATTTTTCTAACTCATAGATCAAATTTGGGCCCCGATAGAATAGGATCTTCCAATATAAATACTAGGTCATTGGCATATGCTTGTACCTTATATTGTTGGTCCTTAATATGCAATCCTTTTATCCCCGAGTTGCGCCTAATTTCCCTCAATAAAGGTTCGAATGTTAGGATGAATAGCAACGGAGAAAGCGGGCACCCCTGTCTAGTTCCTTTCTCGATGCAGATTTGTTCAGATACATCTCCATTAATTAAAATTTTGGTAGACTGCTTTGAATAGATTGTTCGAATTGCCCGGATAAACCTTTCCCTGAATTGCATATGTTGTAATAAGCCCACTAAAAAACTCCAGCTCATTCGGTCAAAGGCTTTTTGCGCATCCACAAAAACGGGGAAGTCATCGTTATGGGGCCGCCATGACTGGCGCCGTCTTCCCAGCCTGTGACAGGAGAGATTCCCTTCACGTGCCAGGTCGCCACTCCACATGCGCGCTATTGCTCCTATCCGCTTATGGCTGCCTCTCCGGGGCTGCTGCCGGCATAAAAGCCGCCCAGGCTAAGAAGTTTGCAAGAGTGAGGCAGGAGCAGTCTCCATGCTCATCTTGCTAGTACAGTGACGTCAATTTCCTGACAGTTGGAACAATTAATCAGTGGAACAACTTGCCTCCAGAAGTTGTGAATGCTCCAATGCTGGAAGTCTTATGAAGAGATTGGACAATCATTTGTCTGAAATGGTATAGGGTTTCCTGTCTGAGCAGGGGGTTGGACTAGAAGACCTTCAAGGTCCCTTCCAACTCTTCTGTTCTGTTCTGTTCTAATCCCTGTCCCTATCCCTATTCTATTCCGAATATTATATTTCAGTGGGTTCTTTCACTATTTTGAATAGTATTTTAATGTTTTTAATTTATTCTATATTTTATAAATATTTTACATTTAAGCATTTAAATGCCAGTGTCTACTCTGAAAAAAACATAAGCAACATAAAAGAATATAAAAGCACACTTTAGTTTAATGGGATTACATCACATCAACTTTCTGAAATTTAGTTTTAAGTAGACTCATGTGCAGTGTAATTGTACCCTTAACATTCTACTTAGCTCAAATATGCCTTTAAAAACAAATAGTATTTTGCTTTTAATAGAATTTTGGTTCCAGTTATATTACAAAATGAATCACTCTTAAAATATTAAAAAGAGCATCATTAAGTTCACCCAAATGCTTTATCTAATCCTGCCATATGAACTATTTACTAAAGTAAACAATTAAAGTAGAAAGGCCTGCAGTCCTTTTTCTAGAGTACATGTCACAGCACTTATATCTAAAGATATTTCAGAAATCTGTCTACTTTCCATCTGTTCAATTTCTAGTAGAATAACTAACTGAAAGTTCATGTGAAAGTTCATTTGGAGTTCAAATGTGTCATAGTGGGCCATTTACAAACTAGAAGTTCATTTGAAGGTTAAAATATTTTAATTATTATTTTTTAAAATACATTTTAAAATGTAGCTGCATTTAAAATGTTTAAACACAGCTACTGCTTACTGAGGCAATTTTGAACAAATAAAGCACATTTTGAGAAAATATTTAGTTTTATGTTCTTTGAATCCTTGCCCAAAAAGGACTGATATCGTGCAAGGAGTATATTAAAACTGGCCTACTTAGCATCATTAATGCTTCATTGACCAAAGGCAGCATACATCCAGTAAAACCTTGTTTTATTTAGTTATTCAATGGATATTTTAAAATTGCATGAAAAAGATTAAAAAATAGTTAAAATGTATTAATAATCAAAAGTTTGGCAAAAGAGATATATAAGGTTTTAAATTCATAAATGTAGGCAAAAATCAATGACTTTGCAATCATAAAGCAGTACAGTGTGCAAATAAATAATTAGCAATAGCTATTAAAGTTGGCAGACCTTTTCAAATCAGTTTCTATCAATGTCAGGGAATAATATAACTCTGGTTTATTTCCTTTTATCAAACTCCTTTCCCACTGTCATTTTGAACATGTATTGTTTAGGTGTTGTTCGGCCAGCCCTAGAGAATGATTTTTTCCAGATCTCTTGATCGTTTTCTCACTTGATGCATGCAGAACCCACTACTGCATAATCTCTCTCCATTCCATGCATTGTTACATTAGGGTTATTTAAAACATGTAATAAATATGCAATAATCTTGATATAATTCAAATACTGCATATTTCTGGTAGGTAGTTATGAATGCATTGCATGTCTATTGATTTGGAGTTCAGAAACTAGCAGCATTTGCTGACATTGGCTACTTTCAAAAAGGTAAGCAGAAATGTAGTTGGTAAAAACACCAGGAAATCTCAAGGCTATAGGCTAGGCTAGGAAATAGATAAAATATCCCGTAAGAAGGACTAGAAAATCATTTCAATATTGTTTACACAGTTCAAAGTCACCAAGAGTTGAACTCAATTTTGGAGGAAACTTTCATTTAACTTTTCACTTAAGACTAACATTTTTTCCTCTTCCTTCCATTCCATTAACATTTGCATTGTATTATTCAGATTAAATACATACTGTCAAGGTTTAGCTTTTACTAATAGTATGAAATATGCAATGAGATTTTTTTCCAATGAAAATTTTAAAAAATAAACTAAGAGTCAAGGTGAATAGGGTCAGTGGTGGGCTGCAACCTGTTTAACAACCGGTTCTGTGAGTACGTGCTTTGCGCACACATGCGGGCTTCTCACACGCACGTAACATGCTTGTGCGCAGCATTCAAAATACAGCAATTTGAAGCTCAGCTGCTTACCATCTAAGGCAGCCCTGGTAAATAGAACAGCGGAGGCGTGGAAATCAGCTGTGCCGCGCGAATCTGCTGAGCCAGAAAGAAGGAAATATAGGACAGGATAGAGCAGCGGTGGGTGGGCAGGGCCAGCTGATAGTCAGAACTACAGGTTCGCCCGACGTGGTCCAAACCGGCAGCAGCCCACCACTGAATAGGACAGTGATGGCAAACTGTCATGTGGAAATGTTGCGCGCATGCGCACTCATCAGGGCCGCACTCCAGAAAAGCCAAACTTCCGGGTTCTACCGCACATGCGCGCCTGACGATCAGCTGGCTGGCGCACATGCACCGGCCGGTTTTCGGCACTGCCATGCACGCAAGGGACAGCTGATCATTGCGCATGCATGCATGCCAGAAACCCGGAAGACAAACAGGCAAGGCCGTGCGTGCCTGGCGATATGGCTTTACATGCCACTTTGGGCACATGTGCCATAGTTTCGCCATCACAGGAATAGGGTGCCTCCAGTTTAAGCCTAATTTCATCACTGTTTTTAGCAAGTCATAATGAGGTGAAAATTACAACATGTGCATCATGACATACTTCTGTGCAAAGGCAAAATTATGTCATGAAGTCTGCCAGACCTATGTAAATAATAATCATTTAACCTTCTTTGTCTGATTCCCACCCATCTCCATCTCAAGTTCCCTGTTTTGTGCTGTTACATGAACATGAATTTAAAGTCAGTATTTACAATACCTGATTTGACACACACACTTTTATATGTTGAAATGGAAAAAAGTTCCACAATGCAAGTAAGTATGATGTGACACTCACTTCACCACCAGGACTCTGCATTTCCTTCTGCATCAAAATCTGCAGATCATAATTCTTCAAACCAGTGTTTCTCAACTTTAGCAACTATAAGGTGTATGAGTTCAACTCTCAGAATTCCCCAGCCAGCCTTACTTAGACAATGGGAACATTATGAATGAGTAAACCTTTTACAGAATTCTGATTCCTGTTATGACATTCACATAAAAGCATTCTTTTTCTCAAACAACAATAAAACTGTATACCACCCCTGTCATTTCCCTAGAATAATCCAATATCAGCAGACACTGACCTGCACTTTCAGTAAGGGAGACTTGAGAAAAATCACATGTGACATCTGGTAAGAGATATTCTTTAGGGTTATCTATTTCATATACCAATTGTTCTGCCACAGTGCCAAAAGTCACCAGGCCTCCTGTGTTAGGTGCTTTGAATACAATAAAAGTTCCATCAGAAGAAGCTTCTATTATGGGGAAACCGATATTATGCCTAAAAGTTCAAAATATTAAAATTTAATTATATGGAAAGTATATCAATAATGTATTTCATGGGAATGTTTATGTGGTTTAAAACAGTGGTAAACAAATTATCAAAATGTATACCATTTTTTAAATAAAAGTCCTTTTAGCTCAGCTCCTTAATTTAATCGTAGACAACCAAATGATCAACTGAATAAACCAATTAGATACAGAAAAGAGACAAAAGTATCAAATCTTAAAAAAGAGCTATCAGTATGCGAACAATATCAGTCCAAGAAAACATATACCACAATATCTTTCATGTTGCAGTAAAAGTATCACAACAAAACAATTGGATATTAATTGCTTTTGTTGCATCTCACTTTTTACACTGCAGCTTTAGTGAGATTTAATTCAAGCAAATGTATTATGGGAAAAATGTATTTTTTCCCAAGTTATCAGCCACTCTGAAATCTTTAACATTCTTTGCCCACTTCTCAGAACAATTCCTAGTCAACCTATATGAGGTTCAGTGCCTACATTTCTTACCCTTATTATATTGCACAAGTTTCAGCTAATTGAGGTATTCAGAGTTAGCCATATTACAATCATAATGCAGTAGAGATTGCAACCACATTGCATTTCATGTAGGGGAAAGAATTGCCAGAAAGAAAGAACAAGGACAAAATGGAGGATGTTGTGACTTATAGTCTATAGCAGCTTTAATAAATTGCAGCCACATCTTCATGGACATGAAGATGACAGCATGACAGCTTATTAAAAATCTAAGTATGAAACATAGCAGAGATAAAATAATGCTATGCTATAATGAAACACACTAACACATTATGAGCTAGCACCAATTCACAAAACTGTGGGCAGATTGTAATGGCACAATTGATTTTTCAGCATTGTCAGTAACTTTTATTTAAAGATGCATCACATAAACAAGTGCCAATTGGCAAGATTTCTCACCACAGGGCATTAATTCTAAGGAGGAATAAACATAATAACATCTACCACTGCACTCTCCCAGGACCCAGCAGATTTTTCAGTCTTAACTTCTACTCCTAGTTCCATAAAAATCTTATTAGCACTAGTTTCCCAGGAGATGACATAATTAAACAAGCTCTCTATTATCTTACCCATGCCATTATTGAGCTGTACTACTGGATATTTTTAAGCACTCAGAGGCTGTCAGTGCCTAACATGGTGAATAAATCTCATTCCACCAAAAACCCTCCCCAGTTTCCTTATGAAGAGCCTGAATTCTAGGTCTGTAGCTACAGAACACCTATCTAGGACACGTTGGAACTATGTTATTATAAGACTAGTGTATTTAAAGTGAAATCACATTAAAATTGTACTTAAAAGACTAAACTGGCTTATTTTCTAGCTTATTTTTAAGCAGGAAACATTCCAATAGAAATTCTAGTAGAATTTCTATAAGGAGATTGATATAAGCTTACTTAGTGACAAAATTATTTTTTGCAGAGATATTTTTTGCAGAGATATTAATATGATCATAGGCTGAATAGTGTCTTTATAATGCTATCATTCAGCAATTTAAGTATTAAAATATATTACTAAAATATTCATCACCATGTATCTTACAGAACAATAAACATACCATTTTGGAACAGTATGCCAGTCAGTGAATATTCCACCTGTACATTGAGGACCACATTCAATCAGATGACCTGCAAGACTAAAAATCACATTTGATATTTAAATGATTTTAATGAAGTGAGTTTAAAATCTTAACTTTTACTGAAAGTTTCTACTGTATAATATCCAATGTTTAGACAAACAAATCTTTATTACATCTAAATTTATATCCTTTTGAAAGAGACTTTGAAATATCATCATTATTAATTGCTTCAGGGATTTTGACCGTTGTATTATTTTAACAGTATTAAAATTAATAGTATTCTTTGAAACAAAGATATTTACCTTCCCGCTGCTAATAGGCTGAATTCATCTCTAGTCCATGCAAACTAGAAAAATGTTTAAAAATATACATTGAAATAGAATTAAATAGTGAAAAGAATGTTAAATCACAAAAGCAGAATCTGCAACAGATTTCCAAAGCTTATAAAAATTCAGCTATTTCCCAGTTTCCTCTTTTATGCATGCTAACTTGTATACAATATGAAAGAGGCATTATAGAAATACATTGCTCATGGACACCCTCCATAATCCATCCAATTTCCTTTTCCCCATTTTTATAAATTGCCTGTGCAACTACTGTATGCAGTAAGCAGAGAATATACTCTAGTGACCTAGAAATCCATTGGAAATTGTATTGTCTTTCACTTAGGTTGTATATTTCACAATTAGACCAACAAAGGGAAAAGAGGAAGGTAGCACTACATATACACACTTCTCTCTCTCTTTCTGTCTCTCTCTTTCTCTCACACACACTCAGGCATACACAGAAACAGACCTACACTTATAAATATGATAAATGCATATACTGAAAAAAATCTATAATAAAATTTGAACAAGTTTCTTCTCTAAATTCAGATGTAATTACTTCATTATGGGAAGATTTAACTACTCTAATAGTTTAAAGGATAATGCTTGAAATGAATAAATTAATATGTCTTCCTTTGAATTTCAGATCCTTACAACAAGGTGTTTCAATCCAATCCAATACTACCTTGTAGGTTATATGTTGCTGAATTGCCCAAAAGCAAGTAATTAACAATAGTCTTAGTAAGCACCAGTTAAGAATGAAGAAGCATCTTGGAATTTCATAATGTGAGACTCTGTGTGTGTGTGTGTGTGTATCTATCTATCTATCTATCTATCTATCTATCTATCTATCTATCTATCTATCTATCTATCTACCTACCTACCTACCTACCTACCTACCTACCCACCCACCCACCCACCCACCCACCCACCCACCCACCCAAATATCCTGTCAGACCTGTCCCACTCTGATCTCTTAGGGAAAAAAAGCCTTTGACTCCATTTGGTTAAAGCAAAGGGTTCTTTTACTAAGGATGTTGGTTGCAGTAAAGTCAAGCCAGATCTGAAAGTTACCACACTCGCTAGATCCAAAAATAAGGTGTAGGTGCCCCCAAGCCATCCCTCCTCCTTGACCAGTCCGTTTTCAGCCAACCAGAGCTCACCAAGATGTTTTGAGAACTCTGAGATATTTGGGGCAATTCACATATTTCTCAGGGTGCCTGGTTGTGGGATGCTGGTACAAACAGGATCTGGCTGCCCGGGTGCTTATCACTTGTCATTCCCCTTCTCCTGATTTCCTATTACATACACACAAAGCTTTATTGCCCTTTCATCCTTCCCTTCTTTCTTCCCCCTTTCATCCTTCGCCGCCGCCTTCTTTACATAGCAGGATGCCTATGAGACCCCAAGCTGAGGCAGGCAGACCTGATATTCTGCCCCCCTTGACAGAGACATTAGTCCTGCAAAAGAAAAAAAGAGAGGGGAAGGAGAGATACAAAAATGTTCTCAAATAGCAAAACGGTTCAATGTGGTTTATTTGGGTGTCAGTCATGGAATTTTTAAAGCAGTTCTGAAGGCTTTAATATGTCATTCAGTTTCGGGGGGGGGGCGAGTCTTTCCAGGCTGGGTTTTTCCCCAATGTATGGGGGAGTCTAAAATGCCGTGCTGCTCTCCCTTGAGCATAATGGGATTGGGAGGTCATTGCAATTTGAGACAATGTCAGGCATGCTTCCTTTTTTTGACTTTGGGAAGTTTGCAAGTATTTGGTGGAAAGGTAGACTATGTCACCAACTTTATAATCTTGTGCCTGCCCCCGTTTTTTATCGGCCTGGGCTTTATGAGCTTGATGCGCTTCATCGAGTGCCTTACAAGTTACTGCCCATGTGCCTCATAGCTGTTCGATCCAATCAATCAGAGAGGGGTGTTTTGGATTCTCTTGGGGCAATTCTGGAATTGGCACATAGTCTTGGCCGGAAGCCACCTTGAAAGGGGTGAACCCAGTGCTGCTATGTATGGAGTTATTATAAGCCACCTCTGCGAATGGCAATAACTCTGCCCAGTTATCTTGCTGATAATTGACATAACACCTCAAATACTATTCCAGTACGGAATTGGTTCTTTCACATTTGTCTCAGGATGGTGGGCAGAGCTTAATTCCTGGGCGGAGCCTATTAGCGCTAAGAACTCTTTCCAGAAATGGGAGGTAAATTGGACACCCCTATCAGAAATTGTATGCTTGGGGGCACTGTGTAACCTGTACACATGTTGGACAAAAATTTTCGCAAGTGTTTTAGTGGAAGGAATCTTGAGACATGAGATAAAATGCATCTGTTTGGAAAACAAATCAGTGACCACCCAAATAACTGTGCTCCCCCCACTTTCAAGCAATTCCACAATAAAATCCATGGAGATCTCTCTCCAAGGGGCATCAGGCATGGCAACGCTCTGAAGTAATCCAGGCGGCTTCCCCGGAGGTCTCTTGGCCGAGGCACACATGGGGCAGCTAGCCACGTATGCCTCTATGTCTTTCTTGAGTACGGACCACCAGAACTGTCTGGTGGGGGAGAACCTGTCGGGGAGGAGGCCAGAGCCGGCTGAAGAGGTGCGGAAACCGGGGTCAAGGAGAGGGTTAGAGCTTGTGTTGTGGATGGACATTACATCAGTACTGTGGGTGGGAGGGGCAGATATGGCGGGAGCAGGGGCCACATCAGGTTGTGGGAGCGCGTGCCCGCTGGCTCCAAGCGGTGGCGCGCTGCGGCCTCCAATGCTCCTCTCGTTCCCCAGGTTGTACAGACCCTCAGGCCCTGGGCCTTCGGCTGATGCTGTGCAACGCCTGGTCCATGGTAAATAAAGTCCCCTCATTTGTGATCTTGTTCAGGAGGGGGGAGCGGACCTGGCGGGTATTACGGAGACCTGGTTGGGCCAGGAGGGGGGGTCCCCCTCATTGAGATGTGCCCACCCAGTTTCCGCGCATTCCATCAGCCGAGGACACAGGGGAGGGGCGGAGGGTGGCGGTTGTCATTAGAGAAGGTCTTGGTCCAAGGGAGGCCACTGTTCCTCAGACGGCTGGATGTGAGTCCCCCCTTGTGAAGTGGGGTCATGGGGTGCAGATGGGTGTGCTGGTTACGTACCTGGCTCCCTGTCACGTAGCGGCAACCCTACCCGAGCTGCTCAACGTTATAGCCACGGTGGTGGTTGGCACCCCCAGGCTTATGGTCATGGGGGATTTTAACCTGCCATCCATCGGTGAGGCGTCTGAGGTGCCTCGGGAGTTCATGGCTTCCATGACGGCCATGGACCTGACCCAGTTAGTTCACGGCCCTACTCACACGGGGGGAAACACGCTAGACCTGTTTTTTGTCTCTGGTCAGTGGTTGAGTGATCTTGAGATAGGGGATATAGTGATAGAGCCCTTGTCATGGTCGAATCACTCCCTCCTTCGCTTTGATCTTCGAACCTCCGCACCCTGCCACAGGGAGGCGGAACCATTGAGGTGGTACCGCCCCAGGCGCCTGATGGATCCAGATAGGTTCCAGACGGAGCTTGGGCCATTTCCTGAGGCTCTGGCACACAGCTCGACTGAGGAGCTGGTGGCCGCCTGGGATAGGGTGGCCGCTGGAGCTTTGGATTGGGTCATGCCTTTGCGGCCTCTAACCCGGCGCCGATCTCGCCTGGCTCCTTGGTTCACCGAAGAGCTGAGGGAGATGAAGCACCGGAAAAGACGCCTGGAGAGCGGTTGGAGGGCCAGCCATTCTGAATCTGACCTAATACTGGTAAGGTCTCATATTAAGACCTATCTGGTGGCGATAAAAGCGGCAAAGTATAACTATTTTGCCGCTCTTATTGCATCATCAGATAATGGCCCGGCTGCCCTGTTTAGGGTGACCCGCTCCCTGCTCCACCAGGAAGCGCGGGAGGACCCCTTGGAGGGAGGAGCCAAGGATTTTGTACAGTATCTGTTTGACAAAATCGCTCAGATTTGGGAACACCTGGACTCTGACTGGGTAGATTCAGGGGGGAGGACAGAGGCAGGTCTTGTGAGTATTATCTGGGAAGAGTTTGATTCTGTGACACCCGAAGACGTGGACAAGATACTAGGCAGACTGAGTGCAGCCACGTTTACTGGACCCGTGTCCCTCCTGGCTGGTGCTGGCCTCTCGGGAGGTTATACGAGGCTGGCTCCAGGGGATTATAAATGCTTCTCTGAGGGAGGGTGTCTTCCCCGCCGCCTTGAAAGAGGCGGTGGTGAGGCCTCTCCTCAAGAAGCCTTCCCTGGACCCGGCAGTGTTGGCAAATTATCGTCCAGTCTCCAACCTTCACTTCGTTGCGAAGGTTGTTGAGAGTGTGGTAGCGCAACAGCTCCCTCAGTACTGGATGAATCGGTTTATCTGGATCCGTTCCAGTCAGGCTTCAGGCCTGGGTACAGCACGGAAACGGCATTGGTCGCGTTGGTTGATGATCTCTGGAGGGCTCAGGACAGGGGTTGTTCCTCTGTCCTAGTCCTATTAGACCTCTCAGCAGCTTTTGATACCATTGACCATGGTATCATGCTGCACCGGCTAGAGGAGTTAGGGGTGGGGGGCACCATCCTACGGTGGTTCTCCTCCTTTCTCTCTGACCGGTCGCAGTCCGTGTTGACAGGGGGCAGAGGTCGACCCCGAGGCCCCTTGTATGTGGGGTGCCACAAGGGTCGGTCCTCTTGCCCCTTCTGTTCAACATTTATGTGAAGCCGCTGGGTGAGATCATCCGTGGTTTCAGGGTGAAGTACCATCAGTATGCTGACGACATTCAGCTGTATATCTCCACCCTGGACCACCCCAACGATGCCCTTGAAGTGATGTCCCGGTGCCTGGAGGCCGTGCGGATCTGGATGGGGAGAAACAGACTCAGGCTCAACCCATCCAAGACCGAGTGGCTGTGGTTTCCGACATCCCGATATAGTCAGTTGGTGCCATCACTGACTATTGGGGGCAAGTCACTGGCCCCCACGGAGAGGGTTCGCAACTTGGGTGTCCTCCTG